CTTCAACTGATTGGATGAGGACTATCCATAATCACAGAGGGTAATCAACTCTACTCAAAGTTGACTGATTTAAATGTTATTTGCATCTTAAAAATACCTTCCACTCAACATCTACACTGGTGTTGAACTCAGCAGCTGAACGCTACAGCCCAGCCCAAGGAAACACAAAATTAGCCACCACATCCTAGAGGGCTGCAGCTGGTACTAATCACTACCATCTCTCCCAGGGTGATGTTTTATTTTTTCTTTACTCTTTTGGCCAACAGAAAGAGTGTCAACTTCACAGACTTCCACTTGGTCTTCTGCTCCATAGCAGCTCCAGAATTCCATCTTGGAGTCTGCCTGCGAGGACCACCCCTGGCACCAGTTGTGTAAGGTCCAGATTGGGTAGATTTGCTAAAAAAGGCTTCTGGTCCTGCGGTGGTGCTTGGGAGCCAGAGGGCCCCTCAGAGTTGTCCCAACTTGACCCAGAGGCTAGGCTTTGTACTCTGGCATTGTCCAGTTATTGGATACAGGCAACTCCCTTTGGCTGGAGACAGTTCTAAGAAGGACTCCGGGAGGGGGACTTGGCTGACTTTCCCAGTACCTTGGTCCACCTCAGATCCGGGTGGTGGGCCACAGTGTCTACCATCACAGGACTCTGTCTGCTTTTTTTAAAATATGAGTTTTATTGATGTATTTTTTATGTAACATAAAATTGAATCCAGAGGCACTGTACCACTGAGCCATACCCACCACCCTTTTTTATTTTTTTATTCTGAGACAGGGTCTTGCTAAGTTGTCCAGGATGGCCTAGAACTTGAGATCTTCCTGCCTTAGCCTCCTGAGTCACTGGGATTATAGTTGTACACAATTCATTGGCCTTTATTATATTCACAGAGTTATGCAGCCATCACCACAGTCGAATTTTAGGACATTTCCATCACTCTGTACAGAAACCCATACCCATTAGTAATCCCCAGCTTTCATCTCCCCCAGGCAACCATTAATCTACTTTCTGTCTCTATGGATTGGCCTACTCTTCATATAATGGACACTTCATATAAATGGAATCATACAATATGTAGCCTTTTTTATATCTACTTTTAAAATGTATTTTGACTTTCACAATTTAACTGCTTTCACTTTCACACTTTAATGAGAATCTAAAAATAAAAATAATCATTTTACTAATTTACTTGAACATGTCACCTAGTAATTTTTCTTTAAATACGATTTCAAATAAAAATTCCAGTGCATTCTTTTCCTCAAGAGAAAGCATTGGCAAACACTATTTTCTAATTCCTCATATTACTCAAGCCATTTTGGCATTTCTAAAATTCCTAGAATCTATATTTCATTGCCAAAGCATAACTTAAATATAATATCCTTTTGACCTATTTCAATACATGGCTCCAAAACAAGAATCTATAAAAATCATTTATAGGATATTCTACAGAAATATGAACATTTTTTT